TAATACCCAATTGCCCTCATGCGAATTCTCGCTTGGCGAGCATTCTTGTCATTTGCGGGCCTCATATGCGATGAGCGATCGAAGAGCGACGAGGGCGCAATAGTTGGCGGCCAATCTAACAGCTCGGAGATGCACATAGGGTATCACCGTCACATTAGAAACCTATCCAGGTGATACAGCGTGTAGCTGCGTACTGGAGACCCATCGGCAAGACCCTGTTTGTTTTCCTTTGTAACTGTTAGCTTGCAGTATTGGAATGGCAGAATGGCAGACGGCTAACTAGACTCTGATGAGTGGTTCGCAGCATGGCGCTCGAATTGATAAGGAGGCGGCACACACTGGGTAGTTTTCGGCCTTCCTTGAAGCAAATGATCTCGTAAAAGAGCATGGATGTAGAAACGCCATGGTCTGGCAAAGCGACAACATCTAGTGCTGAAGAAACGGATTGTTATTGGGTGGTTGCAGTCAAGGTCGTTCGGATTATGAACCTTCTCGCGAGTATGGTAACTATCGGTACCGCGGCAAGTCAAGTTGAAGTGTTGGATGATCGGATAAGGGAACTCGTTTGGTGGTATGCACATGTGTGGAGGTTCTGCCTGAGATGTTTTTATCTGTACTCAATGGTGCGCCGTATGCAGGATGCCTCTTCACCTACATGTGTCGTGAAGGACAGGGCCAGGCGTCGCTGACGCAAACATTGCATCCGAATTGTTGCACAGCGACTGGTATCAGTCGGCAGCTGGGATAATTGATAGGCCTTGGCTGGACATCCAACATCACTTCATCCAAATCTTATCCGGCGGTATCTCGACATTCCAGTAGATTAATGATGTCCTTGATTTGATCACCGCTCTGCTGCACATGATCGTTCAACACGTGCAAGCGAGATACGGCAATAATTGGCGAGACCAGGAGTCGCCCGGGGAGGCGCGCTTTCAATCTCCATGGGCAACGCTATGGCGCTGTGGAAATAGCCAGAAGTAAGAGCTGTCCCAACACGGCAATTAGCTCTCTTTTAACGACCGCATCGGCGTTTGCTTTCTTACAAATGTTATCGAGGTTATTCTCAGGGCAGACTGGGTCCATCGCGAGTGAAAGGACCAGAAACCTAAAAATCTCTGCGAGGCGAGCACTCCACTCGTTTTGCTCGCGCGGTACCTGTACCTAACGCCGTACGTACGTGGAATGTGAAGGCGAGAAGGCCCGGGCAAAAGGACTAGGAATTCCGTGTTGTTCAGGTGTTGTAGTAGTTGTACCCGCCATCAGCTTGGATCCGACTGATTTCATTGGCGCTAGAGGCAAGAGTCCCGTAGTGGATGGTCAAGGCCAGCCCAAAGGCGAAAACGTGCTACCCCTTAGTGGGCCTATAGGAAGGAAGGAAACTTAGCCGGAAGACAGTGGAGCGTCGGCGCCGATATCGACAAGTTCACGGCTAATCGGAAGCAAGGAACACCAAGATCCCCGACCTCTTCCTAAATTTTGTGGGATAACAGTTCTACCACAACATTGTGTAGTGCAGCCAACAAAGCATGGCATGCAGGTCTGGTTTCACACTATGATGCATGTGCCACTCAGCCACCATGTTGTCCAGGTACACCTACGGAAATCACTAGCACACAACGTGGAGCTTGGATGTCCCTGCCAATGTTGCAGGCTGTCAGCCACCACGTGGTGCGACGGGAAATAACGAGGATGCAATACGAAGAACATGTAGCCTGTTCGAGAAGCTGCTTGAATTGCGATGGGCAAGATCCTGTTTTACTCTCTCTCTCTCTCTCTCTCTCTCTCTCATGCCATGGGTAGCTGAAAATTTGCAGTGCATCCAAGGGTCCACGGGTGCAATGCGGCTCCGCCATCTTCTAAAGTTTTAAGGCAACCTTTACGAAATCATGCAGAAACCAAGGAGGCAGACATAGTGTTGAAACAACATGCTCTCCACGATAGTCCTTGTCGGGGTAGCTTATGGCTAGATTGACGTGGCTCCGTGGCAGAAGTAGTTTAGTGGGATGCAGCAGAGCTCATCATGAGGCTCGTGCTTGGCCGACCTCTATCCTCGGCACTGACAGCCCGTTACACTAATGCCGGCATCCTTCACACCTGAACTATTTCGAATACATCCAAGACCAAACTTTGTGTAAAACATCCTGGAAGATGAGGACAGCGACCCCCGCAATCCCACAGTGCACACCCTCGCATACACCCAGGACTGGGATGCCTCTTTTTGTGCTGGTCTTGTAGAGCATAGAGAAAGTATAAGAATCATGTGCATCACTCCTTTAGAACTCATCACAGGCCATTCAACCCTGCGATACCATTACTCTGAGGCTTCTGTCCCATAGACCATTCGGTCATCTTCTCCAGTAAATTAAACAACGACATACAACCGACACATCCTGACCTCGGCACAGCAAAACGAGCCATCATGGTCAAGCTCTTCATCCCAATTCTCTGCGCCATCACTGGTACCCAAGCACTATGGCTTGCCGTCTCGAACCAGAAATGGGAGAACTACGCCAACCGGGGCGGCGTTTTTCCTACCAGATACTGCGTAGTAGGCAGAGGCGAAAACGAGCAGCAAGCCATTGCCAACTCAAAGAAGAGGGATCTGAAAGCTATATCGGTCGGTGGAGCAGGCTATTGTGATCAGCTGCCCTACTCGAAGAGCAACCAAGGCGGAGGGTACTGGAACGATCACGGCACTATCAACTACATCGACGACAACTGGCATTGGTACTGCAATCCTCTGAAAGGTGAAACGGGTGCTTTTTACTGGGATGGAGCCTGTGATGCTGGAAGCGGCGCGCCGAGGAAGAAGAGGGAGGTGGAATTTGCTGCTTAGGGTCCAGCACTGACCTTGGACGCATCGGTAGCGGCAACAGCAGCAGCAAATTGGGGAACTTCAACATCACCTTCCACAGACCACGCCGTCTGGAAAGCTATCTTCCAACCACTAAATACGCGGTGTACCAACTGCACTATCTTCATGTATATAAATAAGCCAAACGCTGTTCACTCGCGATCTTCACAATGACCTTCCACCATCCCACATTCATTGTCCCATTTACATACCGCCACAAAGATGAAGCAAAACACTTTCACAGCGATCAATACAAACACTCTCACAGCGCCCCATCCAACTCCCACAATGTCCCCACGTCCCCCTATAAATACCTCTCCCACTCCGTCTCCCAACTTCTCCTCACCCAACCCGCCCCATCACACCAGGCGCGCCATCATCTGCGCGCCCTTGCACTCGTTCTGACGAGGTGCAGCCTACCCATCGCGGCCCCGCCCGCAAGACGCGAAGAATTACGTACTGGCAACTGGCCTGTTCCTCGCCTCTTAGTATGGGTGGTGAGTGATGGGGAACGGGGGTGGGTTTGTTTTGCTGCGATTTAGCGAGTTTTGTGTTTCTTTTTTTGAAGGTGAGTATGCTTTTCCCTCGGAGTGATTGCGCTGTGGGCGGCGCTTCGGGATGTACTTACACTGGGCGGGTTTGAGTGCTTTCTTGCGCTTCCACAGGATTTCAGTCCTGACGTTTTGGATGGCTTTGGTCCCGTTCTTCTCCCTCGAAGCGAGAACCGATTTGTACGGGACTGGTGGATCAGAAGAAAACGGAAGAAAGTTGTTCCACTTGATTCGTATCAACAGGTTTCATTGTGGGCTAACACTTAATCCCACTGTGGGCTCTGGGGAGTACATTGGAGGCTGCGAAAACTGTCCTCCAGGGATTTCACAGAATGCATTTGGCGGCTGCCTTACTGTTGAAAACCATGACTAGGAACGTACATATCGAATGAATATATCTGCAGAGTTCTTTGGAATATATCTGCAGAACTTTTCCTCTATACTGGCTCCCGTTTAAGACCGGACAGATTCAACTAGTTGCCTTTGTCTTAGTGGAATCATATCGCCAGAAGCTTCCAGGTTATCTTCCACTTTGCTTCCGGCTAGCTGCCTTTTAACGTCGCGCACTTGCTGTTCGTATTCCCAGCGTTGTTTGATGTTCTGAAAAAGGGCATTTTGCTGGCGCTGTTCTTCTTGGTTAATTAATCCGGCGGCTGAGCATCCGGTATTTAGATTCCTTTTTTGCGTTTGGAAGAGCTTGTTTCATTTGACCGCGTCGGTTGAGCAGGGATCGAATCTTGGGATGATCATTGACCGATGCAGATGCTCCCGTGTCAGCCCTCATAGCCGACGAAGATCGATCGAACGGCTCATAGTACAAGCTGCCCGCATGAGAACGTCCTGAGGCTCAACACCACAAACGACAGCCTGAGTATCAACTGTGATGCGCCGTAAGAGATAGTATTTCAAGAATGTCACTATACTGGCGTGTCCCATCATCATATTCTGCATCGATTCGCTCACGTTGCCTGTACACACAATTAATTCTCAGCCTCATCTAAATCGTGCCTGTAGTGCTTACCATCCTGGTTGAAGGCCTTTCCTCCCGTATATCTCAAGGAATAGGGACGGGCGACTTCCGCAAATCTCGTAATCTGCAGAGATGTCAATAAGCAAGCCAAGCCAAGCCTTGGCATGTAGCTTGTTTGACACGCTCATTAAGCACCTCAAAGCTTATTTGTCAGGCTTGTTGCCTATAATAGCTAGGCTTGTTTGAGGCCCGCTCGATAGGCTTCATATATTAAGAAGTGGGGCGGATACGGAGCCCCTTGCTAAGGTCTTCTCTCCGCTCCAACATCACTTTTTATCGATAAGATCCACGTGATCTATTACGTAATAGTATACGTAACAAGTTTGTTTCACTGTACTGTGCACGTGCCCTAATAAGCACTTGCAAGCTATCAAGTAAGCCTTCCTCTTTAAGCTTATTTATTAGGATTTTAAAGCGAGAGAAGCTTGCTTGTTAGGCTTGCGCACAGGTCGTCGTCTTGCTTGAAAAGCTTGTTTAGGCTTGCTTGTTAACATCTCTAGTAATCTTGCCCAGCGTGTCAATAGAGCCAAGCAAGGTCTAGTAAAGAAGAGGCTCAATTCGAGAAATAGCTCAGCTATCTGGTGTCCTAACTGCTTTTCGAAACACAGGAATAATCTCCATCGAGAATGTCAAACTATGTGCTACAAGCGCTTAATCATAGAAAATTAGTCTAAGAAGGAAAATATAGAGACTAGATGCAAGAGTCTCATCGAACATAATCTCTAGGAAGAGAAGTGTGTTCCTAACGACTGTATTAGCAGGTTCGTGAATTTTAATACTAACAAAGAGGAGAATTAACACGTCTTTTATACCAAGACATTGTTTCGTGAACTCGAATGTAAATTCGAGAATTATTCGATGAGGTCCACCTTCTGAATCGCGGAGTAGTGTAACTTAAATGTGTCGATAGCAAAGATTAAGCAGAGCTTATAGTCGATTTGTGGTAAAACCACCCAGTTGTAGGTACAGTTAAGCCTGTATCCTGTACCGTCCATAAGAGTACTTCTTTTCGACCGTTCGCAAATTTGTTTGCAGCACTTAATTCACATCTTCCACGTACATGCAGCCCTTATGCCGACATCGTCCTTAAGTCATGCTTTTTCATGAGTAATTCTGTTTTCAGCCAAAATTCACATGTCTTTCCATTCCACCATATCAATACACTCAACTACTTATACAGCACAAGCACACTATCCCTCTCTGGGCTTTTTGATGATGCCTGCCGTCCAACGCCATGCTAAAAAGAAGCCCGATTGTCGTGTCATTGCCACGTCAAATAATATCAACACCGTAATAACGCCGTCAAAATACACTTGCATCGTCCGCCCTTTGTTTACTTCACGTCTTCATCTTGCCCAAGAATCCGTCCAGGTCGAATTCCTCTTCGTACTGCCGCTCGTCCCAAAGTTCTCCTAGTTCGTCTAGGAAGCCCTTCTTGCCCTTTTCTCTCAGTGCGCCCGTTGCGTCCACGGCGTCGTTTTCGTCGATGCGATCGACGTCGTCCTTGCTGTTGCTTGGAGGAGGTGGTAAAGCGCTGGGATCGTTGCTGTCTGCGCTGACGTTGAAGAGGTCAAGGATTTGGTCTGTTTGCATGCTGCCGAGGCCGGCATTCTGTTGATTCACCACGGTGGAGGCGACGTCGATCTTGAAGCGTTGGAGACTGTTTTGATGTTAGTACATGTGATGAGGAGGAAAGGGGGTTGATTAGACTTACCTTAAGATCTTCTCCTCGAGCGTTCCGCGCGTGACAATGCGGTAGACATTGACAACCTTCTTTTGTCCGATACGATGGGCGCGATCCATGGCTTGGATGTCCTTTTGCGGATTCCAGTCGTGCTCAACGAAGATGACAGTGTCAGCACCCGTCAAGTTCAGACCGAGACCTCCGACGCTGGTGGTGAGTAGCAGGACGTCGTATGATGGATCGGAGTTGAATTTGTTGACGATTTCTTGTCGCTTGGTGGCTTCGACTGTACCGTCGAGGCGCATAAATTGGACGGAAGGAAGCATCTTCTGCAACACAGTGTTTTGAACCATGTCAAGCATCTCTTTCATTTGGCAGAAGATGAGGGCGCGATGCTGGGAGACGGCTTCGGGGAGATCGCCGGTGACAGGGGCGGCCTGAGACGTTGCAACATCGGATGCGCCAATACCACAGTCTACAAGAAGATCCTTGAGCGCACCGAGCTTGGGTGCGTGTACGATGTCATCGATCGTGGTATTGTGCTTCTTCAGGTATTGCTGTGTGGGCTCATAGGCTTTATTGGCTGGTCCCTTGACGACCATGGCAGGCGAATTGCATAGCTTCTTCATGTACTGTAGGGCTTGGAAGATGTGTTGCTTGCTGTCGCGGTCGGCATTACCTGCCTTTGCTTGGATCTCCTGGCCTTGTCGCTTGGTGAAGTCATCGAAGAGATTACGTTGGAGCTCGGAAAGGTCACAATAGTAATTCTGTAGGATTTTCGGCGGCAAGTCATCCAGCACTTCTTCTTTGAGACGACGGAGGAGGAAGGGCAAGACTTGTTTGTGGAGTGCCTCGATGGCCAGGGCGCCGCGTTCTTGCTCCTTAGACGAGGACTTGGCGAACCGCGAGGCCGCGATGGGTTTTGCGAAGCGTTCCTGGAAGACCTTCTCCGTGCCGAGGAAGCCTGGCATGAGGAAGTCGAATAGCGACCACAGCTCGAGTACGTTGTTTTGAATAGGCGTACCAGACAGAATGAGACGGTGGTTGGACTGGAAGTTCTTGACGGCCTGGCTGGTCTTCGACTTTGAGTTCTTGATCAAGTGACCCTCATCCAGAACACAGTAGTTCCAGTTGATAGGCTTCAGAAGGTCCATGTCGTTCCTGCAGATATCGTATGATGTAATCACAATATCCGCTTTTTCGAGCTCATTCCTGTATTGCCCACGAACAGCCGGTGAGCCCACATATGCGACAGAAGTGAGGAATGGGGCATATTGCCGGATCTCTTGTTGCCAATGGCCAGACAGAGTCGGAGGGCATACGATGAGCGATGGTAGACGTCGGAAGTTGAGGTCGCCTGACCTCTCGAACTCTTCGGCACGGAGATGATGATCGCTAGCAACCATGCACAGAGTCTGCAAAGTCTTTCCAAGACCCATGTCGTCGCAGAGAATACCGTGCAGATTGTATCTGTTAAGGAACGCCAGCCAGTTAACACCGTCTTGTTGGTATGATCGAAGCGTTGCCTTGATACCGACAGGGATCTCGAAGGGCTCCACCTTCTTCGCGTCAAGCATTTGCGCAACGAACTTTCGCTCGCGGTCACGGCCCTTGAGCAAAGATTCCGGCAGACCTGGCGGATCGGGTATACCAGACTCCAGAGGCACGAGCTTGACGAGCGTAGCGAAACTTGTCGTTGCCAAGAGTCGGACATCGTTGTCTGAGTCGCTCATTCGGCCGAGCACTGGAGTAATGAGGAAGATGACATATGGGAGAATGGCGTCTTCCATGACGTGGATGAGGTGGTATATGCATTCGATCGCACCTTGCCGACCATGTACATTACCACCATCGCCAATGGTTGGAAGAACGCTCTCGACCAGCATTGTAATGCCCTCGACAGACATAACGCTGCAAATGGTCGCAAAACATTTGGCGGCAACGTAACGGAGGACGTACAGGCGACTCTGCAAAGCCTTGGCAATGAGTGGCAAGAGATCCTTTACGAAGCCACGAACATCTGCATGCAGGCTTCCGACCAAGGCTCTCAAGGTTGAGAGCGCATCTACAACCGCCTGGCCAAACACGCCATCCTCTTCGGAAATCTTAGCAGGAAGGTTGGCATCTGTGAAAGCTTCCCTGATCGGCTTCTCCATCAGGTCCTTCAAGATGGGCACTTTTTCGAAGATCTCGGCACCAAAACTTGAGACAACTTGCTCAAGTGCCTCACGTGCTCCACGCTTAGTGATACGGGCGGCTTTGGATTCTTCGGCGAACTTGGCAGCGTCGGGGTGGTCGCGAATATCCTCGTCCTTCTTGAGCGTGAGAATACCTGTCTCGACATGGGACTGTGCCAGGAACTCGGGAGTCTCTGCTGTCTCCATGCAGTAGAATTTGACAAGGTTGCCAACCACCTTGTTGACGACGCCGGACCTGTTCGCGTTGACCAGGTAGACAATGTAGCCAGCCACAGCGGTAGCAGACCGCTTCTGCAGCTCCACATTCTCTTCCTTCTTGACGCTGTCCATCATAGCCTTGATGGGCGGTGACGGTTTCTTGGGTGGCGAGTTGAGCCATACCAAAGCACCAGCGGCGGCAGCCTTGATACGAATATCTCGCTCCTCTTTGATTTCCTTGGCTTCCTGGAGACTTGACTCTACCTCTTTCCGGGATGTGTCTAGATTTTGAGCAGCGACCATACGGGCCGATGGTGTCATAGCCTTCTTCAGTTTATCAAACTGCGTCGTGAGCAGCTTCTCGGCATCGGCGACGCCGAATGCGTATTGGCTAGCAGCTGGATCGCCTTGTACCACGACCGCCAGGTTTGGCAGGTTCTGCACATTGTGGTCGCGGAAGATGCTGAGTAATGCGGTGCACTGCGTACGGACAATCTGGAGTTTGGGAACGAGATCTTCGTAGGCGACGGGTCGTTCACCTTCCACAATCGGAAGCAGGGCTTTGACGAAAGCCTCTGCCAAGTCGTCCTTGATCTTCAGATTCTTGCCAAACTCGTCAATGACGATGGCGGCGGTCATCTGAGTTGACGAATGCGACGAGGATAGCGAAGGCAGCAGCCTTGCTTGGAATGTCTGTTGCCTAGTGGTCTCTGGCCAAGCGCCCATAGCCTTGCCCAGCGCAGCCGCAGCAGAGGTTCGCGAGCGAATCAGCACATCAGCACCGATGAGTTCCAACTCACCGCTGATCATGTGACCATCAACGTTATGGGAGGTGGTCGATGGCGTGGGCGTCGCCATGTCTTCCTTTCCATGTCGCGACTTCTTGCGCCTCTTCGCCGTAGGTTCGCCACCTGGTGGAGGCGTCGATCTACGGCTCGGCGTCTGTTGCGGGGCCTGGCCCATGACCTGGCCAGAAGGTCGGATGAGCAACGACATGTCCATTGCTATCGGGTGACGGGCGATACCAATGGGTGTGAGAGTAAGAGGAACGATAGCATCCAGGATTGGCTCGAGATGTGTGGGCAGTTCATCGCCGATGCTTTCGATAACGGCGTTCCAGAGTTGTATAGAGAGCTTCAGAACGCCATCATTGCGCTCAAGTAGGATGTTCTGGAAGATTAGTTGCAGAGCTTTGCTGTCTAACCAGCCATCTGAGTCCTCGCTCTGGATGTCGAGGAAGGTTATGAGTGCGCGAACTACAGCCGCACGAACAGTGGTAATGGTGTGCCGCAAGAAGGGGAACAGGCGAGGGACGAGTTCGTGGAAAGATTGGGTCGGGTCTTGTCGAGCATTGGCGCGCATGGCCTCCAGTACCTGCGGAAAGCTGCAAAGCTTCGCCAAGAGGTCCATGATGAATCCGGTACTCGCGCTCAAGTCGTCTTGCAAACTTGATAGACAAGCCCATACTTGATTCATAAGAACTTCTAATGCTTTTGGCCGCATCTCGACAAATTCTTTGGCGACCGGGATCAAAGTCGCAGCACTGATAGCGCGAACGTCGTCGTCGAAATTTCCAAGTCCTTTGATGACGCAAGCAAGGACGCCATCCATCAATGTATCATCTTGCAGAAGGAGATCATTTCGAACGGCGACCAGATACCGCAAGCCGATCATACCACCTTGGCAGACGCCCCAATTAAGGTTGGCGCACTCTGGTAAACCTTCTTGTACGATCATACGTTGAAGTACGTTGAAGGTCGCCAGTACGTTCTCCTGTGACAAGTACTGTAATACTGATCCCATGGCCTGTCCGGCAGTCTCCTTGATTGGGGCGACGGCGTTATCGGACGTGTAGTCAGCGAAAGAGTCGAGTATGAGCACACAACATATGCGACAGACGAGATCATTGAGCCATTGTTGGTTCAATGTGTCGTTCTCAGCGCGCGACTTGCCTTTCCGTCGACCAGCTCCAGCACCATGAGCGCGAAGGATTTCGCGAATGCCCATGGCAGCGCCGTGCCGGGTTTCCCAAGTCTGGTCGAACAACTCAACAGCAAGATATTCAGTCACACGTCGGAATGGCCACAGTAAGCCTTCCTCTTCTTCCTCGGTTTGGAAGGAGGACTTTTCTGGGACTGTCTCACCCTTGAATTCCTTGACAAATTTTTGGTCATCATCGCCACCGTTGCGATCGAGCGAGAAGTAGTCATCAACATTGTTGGCGTCTTCTCCATTCTCTGACTTCTCGACCTTCAGCGCAACAGGCGCTGTGCGGACTGGTGTCTGTAGAGCATCTGGCTGCGAGTCCTTCCGCGGGCCGCTGAAATCAACGATCTGGACCTTGGCGGAACCACCTTTGGCAATGTGTTTCTGTTTCCGCTTCAGAGCATTCTGTTGGCGCTTGCTGAGTACTTGTTCGCCGTTCGGTGTTGCAAGAGGCGGGGATGTGGCAGCGGTCATTGAGTTTGATCTTGATATGTTGGTGTCGATGCGATGTATGGCTGGCGTCTGGCGTCCAGGTGTCTGTGCGATCACGTCGTCGACTGGAGGCGACTTTTCCTCCATGTACTCGCCCTCAAAGCCGAGCCGCTTGAGGAGGGTTTCTTTCTGGTAATCGATGCGATCGGCTGGGGCCATGGCAGCGAGTTTGTATTCATGCTCCCTGGTGCCGCTAGCAACAAGCTTTTTGCCGAATTTGAGGATAGAAGCCAGATCTAGCGTAGCTAAGTCTAACCGTTCGCTGAGGGGAGGTATCGCAGTGTCGCCATTCTCTTCCTTTTTGACGATGGCTCCGTTGCTGTCTTCGGGTTTGACATGGCCGTCAGTTTCTGACTTGACTTCTTCTGCCTTCACAACTGCTTCGATCGGCTCATCCTCGGCATTGGGGTCAAACCTCTCAGCGTTGGATACGATGCCTCCAACAGCCTTGGCAGCTGCAACGCGAGTTTCCCAGCTCTTTGACCGCAAATAGGGAATCACCCGCGTGAGTAGATTGAAAAGTTCGTCGGGGTGTTGTTTTTGGACATCGGCTAATTGATCGGCAGCAGTGTTCCGGATCAATGCTGTGCTGCCCGTCTCGAGGAGCCTTGGCCATGTTAGCGGATGCTGAAATAATTTGCAGCGCGATGACGATGGGCAAATTAGAGCAAGACAAGTTGCGAACAATTGCAGCGGTGTCTTGGGTGAATACGATGATGGTACAAGCGGCCAGTCATGGGTGCACTTACGTTACGAGACGGTCCAATCTGGTGGCACTATCAAGGCGTTAGCGGCATCATCAAAAACGTGCATGCAGGACGCAACAAACCTCATATCGGCGGCTGGTCGAGTGTGCGTTGAATGGCGTGGCTCGCCGGAGTGATTAGAAATTAGTGACAGCCGTAGTTGAGGCCATCGAATATGCAGTGGTCGTGAGCTGGGTAGGTGTGTTGGCGAATCGGTGATGTGGGATCACGTGATGGGTGGTGGTAAGTCGAATCCGCCCCGATGCGTCGGCATGTGGACAGCGGGCCCCTCCAGCATATGAGAACAACCAACATTAAATACAAGCCTGCTCGCTCGCGTTGGTGGTCCGAGCGCTGATGGTCCGAGCGTGCGCGCACCGTTTCAGGAGTCAAATTTTTGTAAGCTCGTAGATCCGGCAGACCAGCAAAACGCGTTGGTTTTTCATCGCTAGCACGTACACTCATCACATGCGATCCAGAAATGACATGTCTTGGACGGTGTTGCGCGCGTGGAGGCATCAGCGACGCGATGGCGATGGCGCCTTCTTCCTTGAAGTTGCGAAATGTGGCCCTTCTTCTTCATCCGCATCGGGTCTAGCATCCGAACGCGACTGCTAGCACTCATGCACCACCCGCTCCATTATCAATGTTCCCATCAACTTCATCAAGGACATTGCAAGCGAACAGCCTCAGACTCTGCCTTGATCGCAGAAAGCAGTCTGCAACCGGCCACGTCATACAAAATTCCCACCCTTGAACCTTCGATTCCGGTGTCGCTACTCCTAGGCTGCCACTCCGCCGTGAGCCAGCCATGTGCTCTCAACCTATCGTGGCGCATCAGGCTGAAGATGCGCTTGACCACCTCGTGCGCAGCAAACAAACGGCGCAGTCCCTTTTTTCATATTTTGCATGTTGGACTTTCCATCACAACACACATTCATGTAAACATCACAGTCGCGCGGATGCACCGGACGGGGCCCCGCGTCGTGTCTTTTGCGCGTCGTTGATAACCAACCTCTCGCTAGGCCATCTGATTTCCGCTGATCGACGTGCGGCTGCAGCTCATAGACTAGCGCACCTGCATCGAGTTCACCACTTGGGGGCCGTCATCTTTTCCTGCTTTCTACGTTCTATTCGATTTGATCATTTGCGCAAACTCTTGTCGCAAACTGGCACCTCGATACATCTTCACCGAGCACCCATATCTGCCTCGGTATCGACGCTACAAACGTCATCAATTCGCGCAACCAACACTGCTGTGTTACTAAGGCATGGTCCCGCCTCGGCCTGTTCGTGGTTGTGACATGGACCCTGTGGTGCGCAGTGAACACCTGCGGTTATCCACAACCCCAACTCCCCCATAGGAACACAATCTTCAATATCGATCGCGCTTCGTAATTAATCAGTAACGTATTTATTCTCCGAGATCGTTCTCGCGCAGAGTGCATTGTTCCGGACCAACGCGTCAAGGCGACGGCGGTCCACCAGCACCGACAAATGTTGGCCGAACGGGATATAGCTTCTCCCTCAGCACACCGCATTGCCCTGTCCACATCACCATCGGCCACGCGACCACCCTTGTGTTGATCATCATAGATCCTCTGCAACATGAGCTGCATCGCGAATGCTCATTATGGCAGGAACTGCAGTTTTGATACCTGGAATGGACGTGCTTGTTTTGCGATCCGCTCGACGCGACATTGTATCTCTCTCGGCGTCTTCCGACATTGCCGAAGAAGGCCCTTCCCTTGTCGTCTCGGTCTTGTGACTTGCAGCACGCCTGGTCCACCATACTAAAATCGACTTGGTTCTGATAAATCTACAATGTGCCTGTATTGTTGCACCAATTACTGGCACTATTGCACACCTCTCTTCGTCGTTTGACCATGGTAAGACCGCGCCGTGACTTCAGACAGCGAATGGCGTCGCTATCTTACTCTCGATATCTCAAAAGCTTCAAGGCTCCGCGGTTCATTGGTGGTCTCCACTCATCAGTCCACGTGGCCAGCTTTTGGACAAGTGCGCGATGATAAGCGGGATGCGAAAAGAGCTCGACCGAAGCTGTTCGACCTGGCAACCACGGGAGACCTTGGAGTCGACCATGCAAAGGCATTCCCGTTCGGATCGTCCCGGAGCGAACACGATGATTCCCGAGGTTGTCTCCATCATGATCACGGGTTGCCCACTGAACAATCCATCATTCCCTAGATTGCATGTATCACCCTATTTCAATGTCGACGCACGACACTCTCGAAGAGTAGCAGATGATATGTTTGAAGAGCAGAGAACACAGCGACTGCACTCAGACGGTAAAGCGCCAGCAACTCGGCGCCGAAGTACATGAGCTTCGCAAGGTCGCGTTTCGAAGCTGTGCCGCCCTCTTGAGCAGAGACATGAGGCAGCAGAAAGCGTCTCTCATGACACTCTTTCTTTGCACTGTTATGTTGTAATTTCACATACACGTCATACTTCGTGATCGGCCAACACCCCGAAGCATTTTGAATGTGCCTTCCGGATTGAGAACGACCTCATAACACTATTCTTAATCACACGGTGCCCTGGAATACTCTAGAGGACCCTGGGAAGCGCAAACTTGGAGGACAAGGTCTAGTGATTTCGGCGCACACAGCAAGCATCCAACATTTCTTCAAGTCGTTCTGGAGTGGCGAAGAAGGAATATCAGTCGGACCCTTGCGAGATTTTGAAAGTGCTGAACAAGAGTTGAATGAATTGGGGATGAACTGGCAAATATGAGGAGGCTTATATGCGGCAGACGAGCACGGACTACATTTCGAAGGCGTCATGGCCGAGCTCGAGGCAATTGCACCAATTTTCCAGGCGAGACGCACACATAGAGCAAACGACCCTGCTTTTTGATAGGTCGGTTCATTTTCGCGCCGTGGCGATTGAGCCGCAGGACGACATCGACCGCTCTCGGTGCAGGTTCTGCAGGAAAAAAGAGCAGCCATGAAACATCTTGGCTTTCTAGCTCATATACTCATGTTGATATTTCGTCCATCCAGGGACTCGGGCATGATGGAATTCGACATCTTTTGGAGGTTCGCAAAAGAAAGGGCATAACACGAGTTGTTGCGGGATCTGGAAAAGCGGACTCATGGACCATAATGGTATCACTTTGGGCAACATCGTAGTTGCAGTTGTCGGAGAAGACTTGAGGAAAAGTAGTGGATTTATATATATCGCGCAGAGTCCGCGAATGACGACGACTGGCCACGCAGCTCCGCACATACCAAGTCTCTCAGGCGATTTTAATGTACACATTCTTTCTAGTAGCCTAAAACCATAGCATACGCTAGTTTGATGTTTAGTCGATCCGGTCGAAAAGAAAAGCATTTCTCATGTATGAACCCCATAGACATAGCGGAAGGAATATATATTTGGACAGGTATCGTTTTGGAATGACAAAAGAAGCGACCAATGGGCTACTTAGACCATGAATTTTCGTCGAAAGGGCAATTTTTGTGAGAGAGGAAGGTACCGTAGTAGTTAGAAGAGAGCCCACATACACGTTTAGCGCATGAAAAAAAACACTCTCTCAATATGTGCAAGCAGACCGAGCATTTAGAGTTTCCCAAAGGCAACCTTGGTCGTGGCGCGTTTCAATGATGTCACACTCCGCTCTCGCCAGACACATGGGTCAGGTGAGTGCTCAATTTCATTGACCGAAGAATACATTTCTTGCTTTTCGCCTTACTTTGGCAGAAGGAAGTGACATAGACATCTTCAATGTCTACCTTTGAACTGTCTTAAATGGAGGTTTGATGAAGAAGAGTTCGCACGGCGCGGAGTAGTATGTATACACACCTTGCACAGTCCTGAAGTCTACATGAATGCGACACTGACTTTCGGAGGATATCAAAGTGTATCCTAGTCGCTGAGAACATATCGCGATGACGCGTTCCTTTTTAGAGGTAGAATGGCCATCGCATCTTCTCCTTTTGAAAGGCCAACCGCCAGAGATGAAGCGCTTAGGGGTTGATTTGATTCAAAATTGCCAGATACCATGCGAAGATTGCGCCTTGCCTGCCAATTTTCCGATATCCAACCATGCATATGCCCGGAGTGCCTCATCACCTCACTCTCCAATTTCCAAGCCACCCCATCCTTTCCAATTCTCCAAGCCACCCGATCAAGCTCCTTCTCCAAGCCATTCCATTACAAATTTTTGAACGGAAAGAAAATACGCTGTGCGTACACGTACTTACTTCCTTGTTGCAAGCTCTGAGATCTTGTTAGGTGTAGTCATCTTAGAGAAGGGCCTCAAGGGCCTGCATGGCGGCACTGAGTGCACTGTACACGAGTTAGTAGACGCTGTGTGACTCTTACGTGATTGTCATGGTGGCTTACAACGGGTCGCTCTCCTCTCTATCGATCTCAGTCTGGACGGCAGCTTGCGCAGCCCGAAGCGCGATCTCGGCGGCAGTAAGCGGTGTCGAAGGCACGGGCGCGGGTGCGGATGCGATGGCTGGCGCAGCTGTTGGGGCGGCATCTCGTCGCAAAAGACTCGTCATCAACGCTTCGAAGTCTGCGAAGTCGTTGCCAGTATCGGACACAGCGTTGCGGCGAGGGCCTCGTGCGGATGAACCAGCGATGAAGTCGCTCTTGTTGGTCAAGACGTTCTGCTTCCAGTAGAGCGCGTCACGTAGAGCGTCGCGGATGTGCGAACCCTGGTGGACAACGTAGAGGCAGATGAACCCATCACCCACTCGGGAGTAGACATCGTAGCCCTGGGAGCGCATGTAGTAGCAGAGACGCAGCGCATCCACCGCTTTGGGCTCCTTCTTGCCTGCCGGATCGATAGCCTGGGTCCATAGTCGGGCTTGTCGAGGGCTGAGCGAGTCGGTAGGGTGGGTTTCAGCGAATTTGAGGAGCGCACGTTGCACCTTCACGTACGCGAGGGTGTTCTGGGTGCCGTCCGGCTCGTCTTGCTCGTTGTAGGTAGTCGGAGGCAGCGCACTGACAAAGGTCACCACAGGCTTCCTGGGTTCTCGCTCGGTTCTGGCTGCGGGCAGTATAGGCGGCAATGGACCAGGCACACGTCCAAACTCGGATGCGCTGTTGGGTAGGTGGGGCGGATCAGCTTGCAGGCCTTCTAGGGTGTGGAGGAAATCTGGAACTGCGGAGGGCTCTTGATTCATTATATCTCTCTCGAGCTGTTGCTGAGCCCGCCGAAGCCTCAGTTCGCGTAGGCGCACAGAAACCGAACCCAACCGCACTTGACGTCTATCAGGTGCGATAAGACTCTCGGCAGGAATGGATGTTGGAAAGAGCGGGAAATCAGAAAGTCTATGGTTTGCGTAACCGAAACCTCCAGGAAAGGAGCTGTTGCTACTAGAATCCGACATGCTGGAAGAAATACGATGTTATTTGCTGTTGCGCTTTGTTCGAGCGCCAAAACGATTGCGGTTGACAAAAATACGAGCGAGTGACGTGGATGGTCGTAGACGGAGGCAGAGGTGAGATTAAAGGCATTGGAAGCGCCAAGAAAAGGCTAGTCGTTGGAGTGACAGCGTTTGCACGAGGTGAAAGTGACGGAAGGAGCAGGAAATTATCACGTGCCGTGCGCGAGCATCGTGCAGGCGAGCGCCTCTAGGTGTTCGAAGACTTGTTGCACATGACATGTGAAGTGAGGATGTACTGAAGTGTCCAAATACTACTATCTCGATCTCGGACTGGTCAGACATAGTTCACTCTGATCGCAGCTAAACGCTTAGAACAGGAAACCAACAAGAGGGGGTTTTGAAGCGAGAGACAGTAAACACTTGATAGAGAATGCAAACAAAGCGACCGCAACAGCAAGACTCAAAACAACAAACATACTCAAAAAGGACGGACGGGCGCTTAGAGTAGAGAGAAACACCCCATACTAACGCGTCGCCAACAATGCAATGCCATCAAACCTTCTCCTTACCCAAATACACCACCTTCTCCCACCCACGATCACCCTTCCTATTTTCAAACACCTTGCCCAGATGCTTGATGCTTGCATTGAACTCCTTCGCGCTCTTCTCACTGTCAAAGTCAAATGCCACATCGCCCATGCGCGCCGTCCTGACGCGCACCAAGCCATCCGGCATGGGTAGGTAGACCCAGGACTGTCGGGCAGAGGGCATGATACGCGCCTGTTTGCAGCGGGATTGGAACATTGCTGCGTCTTCGGGCGAGGAGAAGACAAGTACGGGCTCCAGGGGAGACACGGAAAGGAAGGCGCTGAGGATGGAGGGTGGTGACATCTTGATCCGGGTGGTGGAGGACTGGGTAGGTTAGACAGACCGAGGCTGGAGATTGTGCAGCATACCAGCGAAGACGTCAGATTAAGCTTCCGAGGTGATGTGTCGAGATATGTCGTGTGGTATCGCGTCGGACAGGATACTTGCTGCGAGGCTGGGAGGTGTAGGGTTCACTTCCGTGGTGTTTCCTACTTCTACGATCAGTGCTGACGGTTAGCTATATATCATTCTGATGCAATCAGGCAGCATTATCAGCCCTCTTCAGCTGGTGGGGCCAGCTGCAGTGAGCAGCGAGGCTGAGGTGAGGTCGTGAAGTCAGGACGGCTAGCCTCGTTTGGATCTGACAGCTCGGCTGCGCTTCCCAAGCCCGGCTCTCCGACTTCAACACCAGTTTCTGGTTCAGTGAAAAGTTCTACACAACACCACTCGCTTCCCAAATAGGGTAGATTTGCATCGGAATGGTTAGTCTACGTGTTATGGACGACTTTGGATGTCGACACATGCAGCTTTTCGACGTGAGATAGCAAAGCCAGGAGACCGCCACGAAAGAAATCGAGATTCCCTAATATGCCTTTGATGCCTCAAATACCTCCAGGACATTTAAAGAGCTCGGTAGATATAGGAACTATACTGATAGCCTTTTGAGTGATATTTCCTTACGGTACACGAATATCGTTGTGTAGTCGCTACACCACGCCCAACCATGGAACCTAAATATCAAGTCTACCTTTAAACCCACCTGCAGACAATAACTGCATATGAAGGGAGAAATTCCTCTCCACCTTCACTACACATTCTCTACCCTAACACTACATTTCAAGCAGCACTCCCGAAATGTCCTTCCACAGACCCTATTCCCCTTCCCTGTCCTCCTTATCAAGCGAAAGCCACCACACCTTACTCTACCCCACACCCTCCTCGTCCTACCGCTCTTCCTTCGCACCCCAAGAAGTGACCGGCTACGAGACTATATTCGACGAACTGCCTCGTTACGAAGAGATTCAGACACGAGAAGTGCCGCCACCACCATATAGCGAAATCGCACCGGATGCGGAGTTTGGGGGATATGGTGGTGGTGGCGGTGGCGGGTATGCATGGGAAGAACAGCTATATGAACGTGTGGTTTTGCATCCATTGCCGGAGGCGGGACCGTCAAGATATCGTGAGGTGTATGCTCTAGGACCCATGGGCGGTCCGCGAGGAGCAGATGAGAACGCTTCACGACCCATACCTCTTTCCTCCATGGGAATACCACCGGGAGTACACAGGCCGCGTCCCACACTGCGAAACCTACCTTTCCGAGCGGGTTCGGAGGCGCGTCCATATCCCCCACGGTCCCGCTCCCAATCTTATGTTCTGCGGGCCAGTGATGCGCAACTTGCTGACCTTGAGAGGCTGCGTGAAGATGCATGGGGTAGTGATTCAGAGGACGGAAGTGAGTATTTGAGTAGTGAAGGGGGTTATGAAGATGATTCGGAGGAGGATGGGAGTGAGGAGGGGCTGTCGAGGAGGGAACAACGGATGTGAAGTGTCGCATGAACACTTGTATGGTGGTAGAATAGTTGTATCATGTCAATTGAATCCCACCATACTTCATCCCTACCCAGACTGCCATTCGTCTGTTGTTTAAGCCATTGAACGCCTGTCGCTATGCCAAATAGTAATACCTCATCCCCACCCCAATGACAGAGCACGCATCAAGCTTTATCGAAATAACCTCTTCCCTCCCGTCCTCGCCATCGTCCTCTCCACCCCCTCAAGACTCATCCCCGCGAACCCGGCGCCCCCTCCATCTCTATCCAACTTGTACCGCCTCAGCGCCTCTCTGAGATGTGCCGGCGTCAAAGGACCCTTATTACTCTGCTTCAACCTCTCCTGCAATCCTTCGTCCTCGTTGATCTCCTTCCACAGCGTGTCCGTGCGATCCACCTGATTCAGATACATGCCGGCAGACGTTATGTCCTGATTCGTCGGACGATTGCGCTCGTCCTTGATATGTGCGGATGGGCGCTGGAGGGACTGCATCAGGACGGAGGGAGGTAAGGCGCCGTTGGGAAGATGTGTGGATGCGAGGGTCCATTCGTCGCGGACAGTGAGGGCGCGGTCGATGAGGTCGCCGATGAAGGATTTCGCATAAGACGTTACGGCGATGATGACGGGTTGTGGGACGGATTGGGAGAGGGTTTGGTTGACGAGCTTGCGGACGGTTTCGCGCTTGAGGCGGATGCGGCGGTAGGTTGCGTAGCGTTCGAGTTGGAGGGGCGTCATGAATTCCATGAGCATGCTGGTGGGTAATTAGCATGATAGCCTGGGGGTGAGATTGGGGAGACATACCGCTCATGTTCTTTCTCTTGATTCCGCCGGTCTTCAGCGCTCATGCCACCTTCCTCGACTGCCATGTCCATCTCTACGCCCATGTCGTCCTCATCGTCGTCGTCTTCGTACTCTCCACCATCTGCACCATCTGCGCCGTCACCGCCAACAACACTGCCGCCATCCGCGCCCTTTCCTCGTCTGCTGCTCACAACGCTGGCATTGTCTCCATCCCCCTTCTTCTTGCGCTTCTTTCCACCTCCACCGTTGATCACCGATGTGGTGGCTACACTATCGACCGAAGGAGAGCGCGAGTATCTCAGAGGTGAGCCGACGCCTTCTGATTCTGGCGAGAAGGCATTGCGGAGGTGTGACGGTTTGCGCTTCTTTGCTGGAGCGCCGTTGAGGGAGGATATGCTCCCGCGCTTTCGCGGCATGTTCAGATTCGGAATGTGGGGTGGTGAAGCCATGTCGAGCGTATTGCGCCGTGTATGCGCGCGTGTTGTTCGACGTAGAGATTCGTATGAGTGTGAAAGTTGAAGTCGCTGATGCGCGCGGTCGCCTTTATGGGGTGATTGCGCGCGCTCCTGGTCTCTGTAGCTCCTGGCTCTTCCAGTTGCGCCACTCAAATCGCGACGTGTTGATGTAAGATCGCTCTCAATCTGTAGTGAGGTAAAGCTACCCCAAGTCTGCTAATTTGTTGTCGTAGACCAACTCTCAATGAAAGTCGCACCCGCAGTCGCGCCAAGAAACGGCCACTAGCGCGTTTTCCCTGCTCTCGGAACTGTCAGCGGAACGCGGGTAGCATTTCGTCATCGACGTCTTTCCACGCCTCTCAAGCACAATCGATTTAGACCTCGAGATGTAGACCAGTATATAGCACTAGAATTCTGCGCGACGAATACAAAATTTCCAGGCTTCCTATCACCGTCTGAAAACACATCTTTCACCAGCTTCTTACCACCACTTCCAAGCTCATCGTTAACTTCACAAGACCCTCCGAAAGTGCACACGACCTACGCATCCATACCAAACTACCCGTAACCTTCCAAAAGAAATGCCTTCCTACGACCAAGCCTACAGCCAATCCGCCGCCTCAACCGCCCAAAACCCACCGTCTGATCCAACACCACCAACATCCTCTCTGCCCCCCGCCGCCCTCGACCTCGCCGCCAAACTCTTCGATCTCGCCCGCGCCGGCACCACACCGGCTCTCCAACAATACCTCAGCGCGGGAATACCCAAGAACCTGACAAATGCGTCGGGCGACACGCTGCTGATGTTGACTTCATATCACGGGCACGCAGAGACGGCGCGCATGCTGTTGGAGAATGGCGCGGATGCAAATGTGCTGAATGCGAGGGGCCAGAGTCCGATTGCTGGCGCGGTGTTTAAAGGGTATGATGATGTGGTTAGGGCGCTGTATGAGGGCGGGGCGGATGTGAGGTTGGGGCAGCCGAATGCGGTGGATTGTGCGCGGATGTTTAAGAGGAGTTCTTGTATGAAGTTGTTTGGTGTTGAGGAGGGGGAGGGAGTCGAGATACCCATTGGCGAGTCGTAAATCAAGTTCACAAAGCATAGCATGTGAAAGCAATAGTAGTTGGAATGAAGACATGGAAATCTTCGTAAGAGGTCGTTTTGATTTGAGACAGCTACTTCATAATAGCCACCCCACGTTGCACCATGGAATCATCTGTACTAAAGCCCAAGGAAACCCATTCGCCTGCCAAATACCATCTAGTTCTCGTCAAGCAGCGCAGCGAAGGACTCGCCAGCGTTGTCGGGCTTGCCCTTCTCGAGCTTCTTGGAGCCGAGCTTCTCTTTCGAGAAGGTAGCGGCGTAGGGGTTGAGGCGGAGCTGTACCTGGAAGTTCTTGAGAGGGTTCTTCTTCTGTACAACACCACGCTTGGAGACGGCACCGCCACGGACGGGGCGGAGGACCTTCTGGATGTCGCTTGAGTTGATGATCTTGCTGAGGTCGGGCTGCTTCATCATGGTGGATGGCAGGAGGAAGTCCTTCTTGAGCGCTGAGGGCTCGGTGGTGGAGCCGTAGATGGTGTCAAGGGCACCGAAAGCGGACGAGGTCCAGACGATGAAGCGGCCGAGGTGACCACCGGGGGCGAGCTGGAGGAGGTTCATCGAGTAGACGGATGAAGTCTCAACACCGGGGATGTTGCGGAAAGCCTTGACGAGCTCCTTGCCATCCTCATCGGGGTTGTAGATGACAAGAGGACCACGGCGCTGCTTGTGGCGGCGACCCCTCAGCTTACCCTTACCAGCGCGGAGCTTGCGAGAGTTCTTGGCCTTCTCGCAGTCGGCACCAGCACCGACAGCCTTGAGCAGAGCAACGGCAGCAGAGGTCTTGCGGATGGCGGCATCGGCAAAAGCGGTGGAGGAGATGACGAGGGGGACCTCGGGGACGGTGCTGACGTTGTGGCCGCGGGCCATGAGGAGGGCGGGGCTACCTGAAGCAGCGAGCGCGGATGCGGTAGCAAAGCGCTTCTGGTTCAGGTTGATCTTCTGGTGCCACTTGCGCCAGACCTTGGTGGGAGCGAACATGCGACCAGAGCGGCACATGTTACCGAACGCAGCCTGACCGGCACGGTGTGTTCCTCCACCAGAGACACGGGGAATACGGGCGACGGCACGACCAGTACCCCAGGACTCAGCAGAGGTCTGGTGACCAGCCTTCTCGGAGCTGCCGTGGAATTAGAGAGAGCAATTGTGTGGTGTGCGAAGAGTCTTACACGGCGTAAGGCTGGCGGCGGTTCTTGTTCATGCCAGTGTGGACCGCGTGGACGATATCCGGGCGGATAG